GGGAGGCTGAGGCAGAAGGATCGCTTGAGCCCAGGAGTTTGAGGTTGCTGTGAGCTAGGCTGACGCCACGGCACTCTAGTTTGAGCAACAGAGTGAGACTCTGTCTCAAAAAAAAAAAAAAAAATGACAAGACAAAAATAAATGTACAATAATATGGTCTATTAAAACCAAATTAAATCTGTAGTTTCATTAAAAGTAATCTGACTAAATTGAAAGGCAGAGTATTAGACTAGATTTAAAAAAGATTCCATCATATTCTCCTTAAGAGAAGGAGAATGTAAAATTTGATATAGAAAATTCAAAAATAAAAAAATGGCAAGATATATACCATTTACTCACCAACTGAAAGCTTGTATAGCCATATTAGTAAGAGAAAAAGCATACTTTAAAGAAAAAAATACTAGAGAAAAAGAGATTTCATAATGATTAAAGGTTTAATTCAACAAGATATTAAGAAAACAATTCTAAATTTGTATGCATGTCTTAATACAGAGCCAAAGCATACAAAGCAAATATTGATCTAAGTAAATGGAGAAATGGACAAATCCACAGTCACTGTGGGAAATTTTAATACACTTCACCGAGTAACAGATCAAACTAGCAGACAAAAATTCAGCTACATAGAAACGATTTAAATAACACAAGTAACAAATCTGCTTAAATGACATGGAACACCATACATAAAAACTACACATGGAACATTCTAGAACAGGTCATATGCTGAACCATAAAGCAAGCCTTGGGAAACTTCTAGGAGTGTAATGCAATCTACCCTGAATGGTTGGTGTGAAGATTCAAGGGTACTGATGGGTTCCCTGTTCCTCTCTCACCTCTAGTATAAATCCAAGGAATGTTAATTTCTACCAACCCTTACCTAGGGGACCCTCCCCATATCTCAAACCCTGGACTTGAGAAGACTACATGACTCAAGCCTGGGCACTTGCCACTGCCCACCCCCCTCTAAATGGAGGTTGGCTGGGTGTTCTGTGGGTTGGGGTCGGGTTGGGGGAGGGGGCCCAGAGGTCCCAGCCTCATGCTGACCAACTCAACTCACCCATGGTGTGTCCCGAAGGCAGTGACCGGTCACCAGTGTCCTCACAGTGCTGTCTTGAGAATCTGTATGTTCTGGAGCTGGGAGTTCGGAGAAGATTGAGGAGGGCTGCTGAGGAAGGCAGAGTGCAGGCGCCTAGTTACTTTGTTAGAGCCATGTGACCAAGATGGAGTCCTTACAGGAAGTTCCATCCCCAAAAGCATAAAGAGGAGAGCCCTGGGGGCCAGAGGAGACTTAACATCCTGTTCTTACTGCCCTCTAAGTTTGCTACCAGCCTAACACTCAGGAAGCTGTTTCCGGGGGAGCCGCCCCTGCAGAAGTGGATAGCTACAATCACAAGGCTTGGGACCCAGGTACTTCTTGATACAAACACAGAGAACTCTGCTTGCCAGGCTCTGTTGGATATATTACATTGTATTCATTCATTGTGCAAACTCAGAGAACTTTGAGTGCCTGCTGTAGACCAGTCTCTGTACTTGCTATATCTTTTTTTTTTTTTTCATGTATTCCTCACAAGGCGGACTCCGATTATAGAATCACCAGCTTCCTGGAGTTGCTGAGGTTTAATGAGGTACAGGAGCTTGTCTGGAGCCATTCAGATGTTACCTGGAGAAATAGAGTGAAAATGAGAGCCATGGAATGGTGGGTAACCCCTCCATGTACTAAAGTCTTATAATGTTTGGGGTTTTCTTAAATTAGGGCAGAGTAACAGAATGTTCTGAAAATATTCATGTAGCTAGAACTAACTCCAGCCCATCTCAGAGGGAGAATACAAAAAACAGACCAAGAAAATATAAAGGAAATAGCAAACAAAGTTAAGTGGGTTACTGTTAATGATGGTAGAAAAAAAACTACTCTTAAAAAACAAAATAGCAGTCCCACCAGCAGTGCTGGTAGGACTGCAAATTAGTGCAACTTCTGTGGAAAGCAATATGGAGATACCTTAAACAGATACAAGTAGAAGTACCATTCGATCCAGCAATCCCATTGCTGGGCATCTACCCAAAAGAACGAAAGTTGCTCTATGAAAAAGATACCTGCACTCAAATGTT